TCTATCTATCTATCTATCTATCTATCTATCTATCTATCTATCTATCTTTATGTGTATGAGTGTTTTGCCTGAATGACTGTCTTTGTACCATTTCTGATGCCCATGGATGTTAGAAGGTGTCAGATCTCTTAAGACCAGAGTTACAGACAGTTGTGAACACCATATGGGTGCTGACATCAAACGTAGGTCCTCTGCAAAAGCAATCAGTGCTCTTAACCAACTGATCCAGCTCTCAGCCCCTGGATTATTTTTTTAAATGTATTAATAATAAAATAAGAGTATTTATTTTCCTTATCAATTTTGTATTTTTAAACAAAATAGGATGTTTTAGCATTATAGTTTCAAATTGAAATGATAAATTTGGAATTTGCTATTAATTTGAATTAATTTGTAGCATCTGAAGTTTTCAGCTTTTTTTGCTGTTGCTTAGTGTGGGAAGAAAATGGAAAGTTCGGGACTTTGTCTTCTCTCTGTGTTTATATAAATAACGAAGAACTAGAGCAAGAGCTTGCAGCTCTCCTCAAGATCCTTGTGATTGGAGGGTCATCGGAAGCTAACAGTTAAGGTCTTTCTGTGAACTAAGAAATATGAGGAGAGGAAAGAAGATCAACCAGCATTCCTGTCTTCATGAAACACTTTTGTTGTGGTGGTGAAGTCGTGAGTTTTGCACAATAAGAAAAGTATAGACATGATGGGAACTGCCACTGGTGAGCAATCCTTCAGACAAGCGTAAGGTAAATGTGGTCAGGTTGATCTCATCGATACAATGCCTTGTGTATTTCCAGAAGTGTGGAAATGAGGTCCTGTTGCACTTGTTTTATTTTGGGTGTTTAAGCCTCTACCTGCCTTCCACCAACCCTTTAATTCTAGGCTAGACATTAGTGGGGAGAGGGAAACAGACCCCTTTTCTTCTCCCAGCTATTTAGGGTAGATGGGTTCTTTGGGGGCTATGCCAGTCTCCGTCCACAGCAAAAGCAGGGAGCAGTTTCCTCCAGCCACTCCGCATCTGTCTCCTCTGCACTGCCACACCCTCATTCTCTGGTCTCTCCAAACTGCTGCACCTTCTCTTTCTGGGCCCTCGTATTTATATCCCACAGAGTCCTAAACCATGCTCCTCTCCTGCACAAGGCAGGCTGTTACCAGCATGCAAAGCCCACAGGAGGCAGTTATCAGCTGTGGACACACTAAAGCCCAACTAAAATCCCACAATAAGACAAAAACTAAAACTTCCATTACAAGGTTCACAAGCATTTTGTAGTTGGGAAGTTGTTTTAAGTTTTACAGGAAATCAATGAGGCAGGTTTCCCCATTTTTCAGGTACAGCAATGGAGGTAAAGAAAGAGTAGATTACATAGACGTGGAGCTAGACATGCAGTCAGTATGTCTGAGTTCAGAGCCACCATCTTCCCTTCTGTGCTGCCCATATGGGGCCCAGAGAAGAGCCTGGTTCCTGACCAGACTCAGGGACTTAGTAAGACACAGAGCCACTTCATTATTTAATCTTAGGAGTCCTTTTTGTTAGTGATAATTTTTATAGAATAACAAAAAAATTATTACCATATTTTAGTAAAAGAAGGGGTTGTTAAAAGGTGTTTAATAGGTAATAAAATCAAAGAAAGAATGTTGATCAAAGTTTTGAAAGTACAAATAATTGGAGTGCAGGGAGTGAAAATTTAGGAAAAGCTTCTTCAAGGCCTTGATGTCAGAGAGAATGGGTCTTAACTGCTGTCTGTCTTTTAGTTATTTTGCTTAGGCTTTAGTTTCCAGAAACCGGTGGATGGGCCTATATTGCCATTTGTTCCTCTCTTGCCCAGTGGCAGTTGGGAGCTATTCATACTACATTAGAAGTATGCGGAGATCATGTGGCATGGAGGGAGGGAGTTCTCTAGAGACAAGACAGCAGATGCCCTTTGTTAATAGAGCACACTTAAGAGGATTTGTCATTTAGCTTCTGAATATGTCAAACATGTCAGCTCATTTTTGTTTTTCAAGTTTGTGATAGAGATTCCATCCTCCCCCATTCAAATCCCAAGTAAATTTTGTCATGTGCCTTAAGGTGTCATATGCAGTTGGAGTGGTGGTGGTCTGGCTCTGAGTCAGTGCTTACCATCACCCCAGGCCTCTTTTGTAGAAGTGTAATCAGGACAAGGACCATAAGCTCCTAGGACTCCTCAAACTACTGTAGCAGGGAAGGCTAGTGACTAGGATTGATGTAAAGAAAAGCAGCCCTTGGATTCCCACACACTCTTTGAGTCTCAAATTTTGTTGTACAATATATTTCTTCATTGTTTAAGCTAAATTGAATCACCGTTTTTAGGCACTCACAACCAAAACCATGCTTATTATTTCATCTATACAATGAGGGCTTTACTCTAGATGATTTCTAAGCCTCTTCTTGCATTTTAAACAGACAGCCTTCTATGTAAGCTTCTGCTATGACCTAGCTCTACCTCTGAGCACATCCTTAGCCTATGTCTTGGCTTTCGCTGGTGCCCTTTTCTTTTTCTCATTCGACTATGGATGAATATTACAGAAAGTGAGTTTTGAGTGTCATCTAAAGATGACAGTGTGACCCCAAATGTCAAAGATGAGTTGTAGAGGGGTCTGAGTAAAGCATAAAGCTTTAGTGAGGGCAGGGCTGGAGAAATAATGACATTTGAAGTGCATTGTAAAAGACACAGAAATATATACTGAGAAAGTATAAGCAATAATTGGGAGAAAAATGGTAGCATTGTTTTAATTGCGTGGGCGGATGAAGTAGTTACATTAAATGATTTGTCCACAAAGGAGGAATTGAAATAAGTCACAGTTTTCCTAGCACGCACCATCTGTCTGTCACAATAGCAATAACTACCACTACCCCTGACAGCTTCCAGAAGCTTCCCAATGAGAGGAGGGCGAGCATAAAATGCAGAACAGATGGGTACTTGGCAACAAATGTGCCTGCAATGGAATGGTACTAAAAAAGCAAGTTTCTAAGTATGATATAAGCCTTTATAATAAAAATTTATTGTTAATACAATTTTCATAATAGGCTGTTTGCAATTATAACCATTGAAGTTCCTGCCAATGCAAATGAGAAGTCTAGAACGTAAATACAGTACAGCTTGGTGTTGCCGCCCCTGTCCACCCTTCCCTGGATTATGTGAAATATTTTTGGCAAGAAGGAGGCAGCCTCCTTTTTCTTATTGAAGTGGGTTTTTGTTCTTGGCCCCAATCCCCACTCTTTCTAATTCCCCTGTCTTTCAGCAACTTCTACAGCCTCTACCTGATTTTTGAGCTGCGTGCACCACCTGGTTCTGGCCTATGGCTGCTGAGTCTGCGGACTACAGTGCCCATTTCTCCTGTTCTTTCTTTATCCTTCCCAGTGAAAGCCAAGGGCTTGCAGTGGATTGTAAGGCTGCAACCCACCTGACTGTCTAGGTCCTCTCTTTCTCACCTCCTTATCTGCCCTGTCCAGCTCTGCGGGCTTTCTTACTATTCTTTGCATAGGATGTACAATGTTCTGTCTCAAGTGCTTGGCTCCTGGCGTTCTCTGTTCCTTGACCCTTCTTTCTTCAAACACTTGCCCCAAGATTTTCTTCATTTTCAGTGAGTCCTTTTCTGTCTATCTTACCACTTTGTGTTTGCTGTCTCATTTGTACGTTTCTTCAGTACTGCTTTTCCTATTACAGTTAGCTATGCTCTATTTTACTCTTCTTCTCTATTAGAGAGAAAGAGAGAGCGAGAGAGAGAGAGAGAGAGTACTTTCTGGTAGAGAGACCAAATAAT